AGTTTTTTTGATATAAAAATGAGACCCAAATAAAACACGAGAACGGTCTAATTTTGGAAGGTAATACGGTAATAAAGATAATGGCCTATCAGCTGTTTTTTGGCTTATTTGACCAACATTGGCCTTTTGACCAGATTAAGCAACTAATTAAATGACTTTTACATTTAGCTTTTACATTTAGCTTTTCATTTAGCTAATTAAATGACTATTTGGTAAATGACTTTTACATTTAGCTTTTCATTCCAAACAACCAAATAACTCACGCGGCTAATCCGTATGAAACACATATATTCCAGTACTAGCCATGTCTTATTTTTCGTCTCTCCCTCCTCAAATAACGCACGCAGCTAGCCAAACACTCTTTTCATAATTGTCTTCCTTCTCTCACCCCAGAATTTTCCAATACTATTACATAGAAATCTGCTATTTTTATAAGCTTGATGTTTTTTCCTCTATCGAAATCTGATACGATTATACGAAGTACGATAGTACGGACTACGGAGTACATGTCTCTATCTCTACAATCTAATAAGCCTGAATGATAGTTAGGGTGTTATGGGTATAAGAAAATTTGTTGGTGGTATTGTAAGCTTTGTTGACATGTACCACATGCTTGAATGTTTGTCAAATTTTAAACTTCCTTTAGCTTCATGAAACGTCGTCTGTTTCTGTCATTATACCAGCAAACACTCTCAGTTAGTATGCCCACAAGGCCCACATCCGCTCCGTTCATACAAGCAGATGCCCGCTCAGGCGCACATACCCGGCCCTCACAACCCTTACTCTCCTTCAGCTTCTCTCGTCTAACTTCTGTTTTTCACTGGTTTAGCTCTTCATTACTCTATGGCATTTATGGAGCTGTTTAATTTCATTTTTGCTTGCAATTCGATCCTTCTCCTCTCCATTGGAAGTTATGGAAATTCAAATGACACACTCATCTTCACTCCGCTGGCCATATAAATCCATATTCTTCACCGGGCAAACATTTTTCCCACCCTGCTCACACTTCTCCTGGTAAGTCTTCTATCCTTGACTGTGTTGATTGTATTTGTTTTCTCCTTTCCTTACACAGCTTGCGTCGAACCAGTTTGAACTTTGTCAAATAAAATAATCAGTTATTGTGTTCTATTTTGTAACACCCTCATTAGCTTCGCATCTCATATGTTCGATAAAATGCTTCAATGGTATTTCCTTTCATATTTTGATATGTATATACTATCGTATCTCATATCACCTTTTCCCCCTTGTTTTATCACTTGCAATATAACTGGGTACAAATAGATTTACCAAGCCCTTGTAAGTCATAAGTAGTTGATGTAAATACCATTTAGAATATGCTCTTATACAGTGTGTTTATATAAGAAACATAAATCTGTTTCACATTACTTTTATAATATGACTAAGTTAATGCTGACTTACAAGACAATATCAATGTTTAAGAAACAAGTTCTTTGTTTTATTTCAGGTTTTAATCTACTACACTTCTTGTTGTTCTTGTTGAGACATAGAAAACTTTTAAAGTTCCAAACATGGATCAAAGAGATATGGTTGTGTGATTGGGAATAATGACCAGTTGGTCAACAACCAACAACCGGAATATACAATATTATACTCAAACCTTTGTACTCACTCGGAAACCTGTACGAGTATAGAACTTTTAAAGTGAATAGAAATATTTTCATGGAGTTAAGAGATGAATCTTTGATGTCTTTAATCTTGTGCTGCTATTTGTGGTTTCTAGATAACAGCGTAAAAGCCCCTTTAAGTCACTATTAGCGTTTCCGCACTAACATGACAAGGCTTAGAAAAAAGTTAAAGGTCAAGAACATATGTGTTTGTGACTGTGGTGATAATGTTTGTAGTTTTTTGTAAAACTAATAAAAAAGTTGTATGCTGCAAAAAACATAGCCTGAGTGTTGTCGTAAATACTATAATCAGCTTGGTTTTAAAATGCAGATCTCATTTTTGTTTTTGTATGAAAAGTGGCTGTAAGCTTTATTTGGAGGATCTATATTCAACTATTATGGTACCTGACCTCTAAGTTATATTTTAAAAATAGGGCTACCTGTAAGTTATACTTAACAAATTCAGTTACTCTCTTTTTCCACCTTTTCCTTTGGTTGGTAGTAGTTTTTCATTGATTTGTTTTAACTTTATTACAATCATATAAGCAATTTCTTATAAATGTTTACTACGGTTTTCAAGTTTAGATCTTTAATTTGACAAATTATGTTTAAAGATGCTACATGAAGCTATCACAAATTTGTCACTTACTCACTTGTACACTTTTATATAATAGGTGTTCTATATGTTTCAACTATTATATGTTAGATTTTATGGCTTTAACTTTATATGTCTAAAATGAAAAACCATCACAAAATTAGCCACATGAAGCTATCCTCCCACTGTATAGTAATTTCATTTTGATTTCCCCGATGCTTGTGTTATTAACGAGGTTTTAATGTGATGGTTAGCTTTTTTTAGTTGTTTTTATCTTTTAAATGTGGCTCTCAGCTATATATGTCCTTATAAATTGGGTACTAAACAAACTTGACAGCTTTTAATGATAGGCTAGGTTTTAAAGGAGCTGCCAAAATTCTTAGGAATTCCTGCATTTGACAGTTTTTAATATAGGTCATAGTGATAGCGTAGGTTTTAAAGGAGTTGCTCTAAGCCTGCAATTCTTCAGGAATTCCTCTGGTGATGAACTCCAATATGGTTATGCTGCATTTCTGCTCAAAATCAGTTTATTCCTTTAAAAAAATCTTTGGAGTGATCATTCATGTTATTCAGTGGGCTCTGCCTTTTGGTATATATTACTGTTTCCATTCCTGGAGTTTGATTCTGAAATGCTTCATGTTTTTTAAATAATGATCATTTTAGTTTAGTTATTTGATAGTTTACATTCTATATTTAGTTTACATAAGGTGAGATTATAAAATAATCTCTATGCTACTTGTGGTTATAAACTTATAATCATTTCAGCTACTTAGTGATTTCTTCCATTTGCGCTATAAGGATATGAAAATTTAAGGTGTGGTGTATAGGGACAGATTTAATGTGTTTTCAAGAAAACTAAAATGATCATTAGAAAAGAATGAGGCTCCAAAAGTGAATTATAGGATGGAAGTTTAACAAACTGTGATGATTTCTTGCCACTAATCTCTGGATTTTGAGGACTCATTCTTTATCTTGGGCGACCAATCTGGAAATGACCATTCTGGAAATAGCCGGCGGTCTGAAATTCTATTTCTTTGTGAAAACATGCTCCTAAGGATTCTTGGATCATATATTCCTTTATCTATCAGTCTATCACTTCTAGGTTTGTTCATATTTTATTTGACTCTCTTTATTTTAGTTATTAACTCCGTATTATTCCTTTATTGTTTCATTATTTTTATGCCTAAGACATTTTTCTCTATGATGTTTTGTTTCTTAATAAACAGGAACTACAAGAAAACTGATTTTCTACCACAGCTGTAAATAGTCACAAAAGATTAAGCAAACTGTGCTAAACTATACATTATTCTTTTTTTTTTATCCCGGAAGGTCAACCACCAAAATCAGTGGGGCAAATGTCCGACATTTGCCGAGATTTTATTAAAAAATTATCCATTACAAAAAGTGAGAGGGACTATACCAAAACCTCACCACAGAGGCATTCCTCTGACAAAATACATGAGAGAAAATAGACTGATAAAAGTAAAATAGACTAATAATCTCATATCTTACTTTTGGTATTCTGATTTGAAGTCATTAATTTTTCATCTTTAAAGAAGTGTCATTGTCAATAGATTTTTCATAACTTAGGTTCGTTTAATGGGAAAATGATGTTTAGATTTCATGTGTTTAGTACTCCGTACTATAGTTAGTTCATAGTTAAATGGATCATATCATGTTAGTTTAATGTGAACATTTCTTGCTACAGAAACCCCATTTAGATGTACATATCCACTGTTTATAATTTAGGACGGCTAATTTTGCATGTTTAGAAAAGTGGTATGTACATTTAATAACTTTTTCATAATTTAAGTTGAAAGTTCACGTTTATATTTCAGATTTTTAGCATTAGAGTCAGCTCATATTTAGAAAGATTATATTAGGTTAGTTAAAGTGAAAATTTCAAAATTCATACTTTGCTTTTACATATATGGAGTACATAAATGTGATTTACCTTCGAGAAACTACGTTAACCTAAACATATTCTGGTTTCAGACGATCCTTCCCAAGCTATTTATAGAAAGACATGGCTAGGGAAAAAAGGTGTTTAGCATGCATCACGGTCAAAGCGGCAGTCTGTGACACGGTTGGTGGCGTTGTAACAGATGTATGGGGAACTGTTGAGGCTATTAGATACAAGGTTCCAGAACTTTTGAAAATCAGGTACATTGAGCAGACTATTGTGGGCAGCTCAACCACTTTGGACAAATATGAAGATTGCATTTTAGAATAGTATCCCCAAATTTGTTATAGATAGTTCAGTGCGCTTAAGATACATAGTAATATCATACAAATGTAACATGGTTCAGGTTCAAATTTATTTGATCATTTTATGCAAATTACCTTAAAAAAACAAGTATGCAAGACAACACACAAGCACATAAACACGTTGGGCATTTTCTTATCGCGCAACGCGCGTCATAATAACTAGTTAATATAATACGGAGCATTATGTTTTTCCTCTACCGTTTGAATTTTTCATTCCCAAGTTGCAATTGTTGTTCTGATTAATTTATATAAAAAACTCTTGTTTTCTTATATTTTAGATTTTAAGTTGCAGGACGCAATGATTTGCAATTGTGGTGTAAATAAAGTTAATGGCCGGTGAACCTTAACTTGCGTTAATGTTTTTTTTTTTAAATGCTTCGTTTAACTACTTGTACCGACAATATTTATAGCAAAATGTGTGATAGTGGTGTATAAAATTAGTTATTAATTAAACATGATGTCCATAAAAGTGATTTAACAAATTATCAGCTAATTATAAACGACCACTTAACCAAACACTATCTTACAAACGGCTTATACTATCAGCCAATCAAAACAGCAACAGAATCCGATGTCTGCAATCGGCTAAATCAATCAGCCAACAGTCAATTGCCAAACATCCCCAATAAACCAAAATGATATAAGGAAGTGAGAACTAAAAAAGAGCATTTTGTGACATTTGTGTTGACATAAAAACAATTTTTTGAACATCAAAAGAATATATTTCAACTATTATTGAATAATAATTATAACAATATTTAATATACCGTGGTATAGAAAAAAAACCTGCATCGCACGGGTAGTCGGGTACTAGTTATGTAGCACACTGACTTATTTTTAAACTTCATTTACTTCATTTAACTAGTGTTTCACGTTACAACGCATTATCTAAACTTAGTTCCAAATAGTAGATCGAGTGCAAACAATAACAGATCATACAAATATTAATTAACTTTAGATTGTTGTGCTACACATAATCGAATCAAATTACTGGGTATAACTGTATAACCACGCAACACACTATTAATCACGAGTAGTAAATATTATGATCATCCTCGTATTAAATATGCACTTCAAACTAGAAAGTAGGGAAACAGCTTTGCACAAGAGTTATTCCTGACATTTCCCAATATAAGCAGATTAGCTTCACAAGTGAAGAACAGCATTAATGGTAAAAACTTTGATATGAATGAACACTTTCTACCACTAGCAAGCAGCTTTTACAGACCAGCCCTTCCATTGCAAATCTAATACCTGGGAAACTAAAAGTGCCTTTCAAGGCCTCAAGCCTCTGGAAATGTTCCTAAACTGCACGTGGTCAGCCAAGCGCACATTTCCTGAGATGTCGTGCAACTTTCACCTGCAAAAAAATGAATGCAGCATGAGGTAAGAAGATGTGGCTAAGTTTGAGTGGTTGAGTGCATTAGTAGGGACATATTCTCATCCCTGTTGTGAAGATATAATTTGAAAAAGTATGGCAAAGCCAATTTGATTAGAAAAGATCAATTTGATCAAAAGAAGCAAGCTGCCTCCATCCAGTATGAGTCCGCAAATTTTGAACTTTGAAGCAAAGGGGGGTTGAAAATAAAAAGAAAAAAAAAACAGAAATTTTATGAGATCTTGGACATGTTCGACATTGATTTTACTATATCAATCTTGTACGGGAACATGACTACAGGTCTACAGTAGTGTTTGATTTGCTTGTTCTTCTGAAAAGTGCTTTCTTTAGAGATTATGGAAAACCACCACCACAAGAACAACATTACCCTATGTTGGAGATTATAGACATAATACTTAATTGTAAAAGATGGTATGTACGGAAATAAAAGTGCTTGTAACAAAGTAGAAAGTGGAGTGGTTGGTAATACTAAAAAGTAGAGTTTTTGGTGAATTGGTTAACCAAATGTTGTACCAAGTGAAAATCAACTTTAAGCTTTGAGTACATGAATGTAAAGTTCAAGCACGACGGTTAGTTTTTTAAATATAAAGCTTTATGAAATACTATAAATGTGTTTCCCTTGTTGAAAATGATTTTAAAAAGTTGAAGTTGAAGTATTTGGTAAAAAAGTACCTATTCATGTAAAGTATTAGAAAAAGTTAAAAACAGCTTCAAGCAATATTCCCCTTACACCATGCTTACAATTTTTAGCTTTAAATTGCTTATAGATAAAGAAAGTAACACTTTTTAACATTTTATAAACAAAAGCACAAAATTGCTTCCTAAGAGCTAATGCTACTCAACATTTTTTCATCTTACACGTAGTATTTTCATGCAAGAAATAAAGTAGCACGATGATAGTTTAGGAATTCCATCTCATTTTTTGATAGGGACCTACCTATTAGACTAATAAATAGATTAGTAGCTATTAGTTAAAATTCTTAAATAAGGTAGGCAAAGAATTGAAAGGGGGAGAGGTTGAAAGGTGCATAAAGGAGTTTGCATTTCAGAACATAGAAATCATGAAGGGCTGCAGAAAAGTGAAGAAAATTTTGTTGATATGGAGTGGGGAGAGGTGACTGAACCAATTGGAGATTCACTTTCTGTTGCAGAAAGTTCTGTGATTTTAAAAGATCTCGTACTGAAGTCCCTAGTCCATTAACCAGTTAGATATTGGGAAGGGAGAGGAACAAGGAAGAGGAAGAGGAAGCAAAAGATTTTGGCTTTCTCCTATTACCCACCTTGAGGACAAGGTGGATGTTTAGGGAGGGAGTATTGATAGGGACCTACTTATTAGACTAATAAATAGATTAGTCGATTAGTTAAAATTCTGTGATAGATATTAAATAAAGTCAGTTGCTGGACTGCTATAAATAGAAGTAAGGCTGGGAGGGAAAGTAGGCTTTTGGACATTAGGTCTGGGACTGAGAAGATCTGAGAAGTCTGTTTCTCTTATCTTTGGGGGCTTCGGCCTGGGTTACTGTTACTGTTCATCTTCTTTAATAAGAATTTTCAGTTGTTTCTTGATAGTAATTCCTGTAATTGAGGTGATTTCTGGAGGATTCTATCATTTTTTAATCCGACAGAGTATGGAATTTGACCAGGCATGGAGATTAAGAAAAAGAAAACTGTGTGATTGAAATATATCTAAAAGAGAAATAATATGAACCACATGATGCTTTCATTTCATAAAAGGAAATAGGAGTAATTTTTTTAGATAAACCAGGAAAAAAAGAGTGTGAATTATTTAGGGATGAATGCAGTATTAAATTCCATGCAACTAATTGTAGCCATATAACATCATAAATTCCATGCAACTGATTTTAGCCACATTACATTAAAAGTTCCAAGTCATCATTCACAGCGAGGTGGGATTATGGTGGCGAAGATGATGAGGATGACTAATTAAGTCTCCAATAGATGGTGTTGATTCACCTAGTCGGCAATTATTAATCAAGTGAAATAAGCCTATAATGCTAATAATGCGCTTATGCGCCTAAGCTGTAAAGGCTTTAAATTTTAGATTTCGTGTGCGGCACATAACTTATCATCTTAACCATAAATATAGTGTTCAGAACTACAAAAGCACAAAAATACTATGAGGTTCTCACCTTAATTCATTGTAACAAAAAATTGTGTGGAAATGGATTCAATCCCGAAGGCCAAGCTCCATTTCAAGTTCATCGTCCTCTTCAAACAACTTTAGCAGGCGAGCATATTGCTCTTCACGCCTTTTCTTTTGCCAAAACTTGAAAAGGAAAAAAGATAACCCAGCAACCACTATAAGTCCAGCGCATATCATGAGTGCTCTATAACCTGCACTCTTGTTTGAAGAGGCGTGAGCATCAGCCTTTTTTTCATTTCTGGGACCTGATGGATCGTCTGAGGAGCCTGAAAGGGTGAGACCAGTAAAAGAAGAACATATGAAACACTGCAGTTTGGCGAATCGTCAATATGATAGAGAAGGTACCAAGATTATACGGAGTAGATCAATATCAAATCATTAATACTTTATCAAGAAAGAAGAAACTAAGGCCCCATACCCCATTGGTATCCCTTATTTGGTTTATATGAACAAATTTGGAGTATAATTTACTGAATTTTCTGAAACAGGCAAAGCATTTGGGAACTTCCAATTCGGTAAAATAACTATGCCAAAGGCTCCTTATTTTGCTGATAAATCGAATAACAAGTAGAATATGCCGAATACCAAAAAGAGCCTAAAGGCTAAAACGATCTTCTGATTCATAAAAAATCAAGATTGAAATAGAGCATCGAATGAATACACAATAATAAAACGAGTTAGAGCATCAAATGTGTGTACACTGCATTTTCTAACTAGAATCCTGAATCCCCAATCCACTTTAGCTCAACTAACCAAGTACACAGAAAAAGAGCTCAAATCTTTAATCACATTTTTCATGTCGATCAAACCTATTGGCTGATGCAAACATTAATTACAGAGTAAACTACTCCGTGTGACATCAACCGAACACTATGCAAATGAGTGAGACAGGAAAAATGGGACAAAAGATTACAATTCTACAGAAAGGGCTGTTTTGCAACCAAATTTCTAGAAAAGGGTGGTAATCCAAGAAAACTTCCCAAAAATAAGATCAAAGTGCCATCTTTATCCAGCAGCTATGAGTAACCTTTTCCATTGATTTTCAATCCCCCCCCCAACAACTTAAACTGGAAGAATGGATCATGATTATGAGATCATCAATTAGATATAGGCCGTATAAATTTCAAATTACAAATTTACAATCACAGTAGATTCCCAAAGCAGATGATGAACAGAAGTTACAAAATTTTCATTTATTCAAAGCACCCTCTAACTAAAAAACAAATATATTCTGGATTCAGAATACACAGAGATCCCAGAAACGAACCTGGAATGAATTGCGACGAAAATGAACAGAGCAATAGAAGAAATCGCAACGATCTCTCCTCAATAGAGATCTCTCTCATTTCTCTATTCTCCTTCTCCCTTAAATTTTTATTTCCTATTTTTGTCCCTGAAAATAACTACCGCATTAAGTACATGCAGATGAAACTCAAAATTACAAAGCAGTCCCGCTGCATTAAAAATTACAGCGACAGGGCCCATACGATTTATACTTTAAATGTGTATGCAATTCCAGTCCAACCAAAGTCTAACCAGCAGGATCCGACCACGTCCACATGAGCTTGTCGCTCCGGGATCCTTCACGTCATTTAAGGCGAATTCCTCCGTCCTCTTCACCAATTAATTATGAGTGGGTATTTATACATACAGAGAGAGAGAGAAAGGAGGAGGAACGGCGATGAGGGCGGACGAGGAATACGATTACCTGTTCAAAGTGGTGGTAGTCGGCGATTCGGGAGTCGGGAAATCGAACTTGCTCTCCCGATTCACCAGAAATGAGTTCTGCTTTGAATCCAAGTCCACTATCGGCGTTGAATTCGCAACCCGTACTCTTCAGGTACTAATCCGTTTTATTCATTGCTAGCTTGATATTCAATTTTGTTTAGCATTTCCACTCCAATGCTGCAAGTCCGCTGCGACCATTGTGGTAACTGGTAACTACGAATTTTTTCCAGACCTGTTTCACAGTTCATACATTTAGTCCGTACAGTTAAGTTCTCACGTTTGTTGAGATGCCCCTAACTAAGTTCACATTTCGCCTTTTAACAATATATTAAAAACTTTATAAATTTATTGCAGATTAAAGTTTATTGAAAAAGTGATGTGCACAAGCGTTAGAGCATCTAATATGGTTCCTTTTGAAGACTTGTTTGTCATTTTAAAGCTAATAGCTTATCATTGGAGCATTGATTTTTCTTTTGCTTGACAAAGTTAATTAACCAAAATGAGCTACTAGTCTGAGCAAAGAGAATTATCAAATATAGCATCATTAATAATAAATGAAGAAGAAGTTATAGCTAATCATTGAAGTGGATTTTAACTTTGTTACAAATGCTTATATGGATAGTCAAACTATGAGTGTAATTAGCTAATCTTAATATGCTTCATTGTGCCCCAAGTTATTACAACATGGTCTTACTATCACCGTGATAGTATCAAGATGCTAGTCTTACGAATTTCATAATGCTATACAAATATACGTGTGAATTTCATGGTTGATAGATTTATAACTTACTCCCTCCGTCCCATTTATATTGTCCCGGAAGAGGGTGACACGATTATTAAGAAAAGTGGGTTTGTGTGGTTGATATTAATTGATAAAGTAAGAATAAAGTAAGAATGAATTAGAGCCACACAAACTTTGCCAAATATGGTATGGGACCAGTGGCGGAGCCAGAAATCTACGATTAAGGGGGCCGGTTCTTAAAAATTTTACATTGTAAGGGTCAGAGTTTAAAATATCAACATATTTTCTATAGATTAAAAGTATTTATACATAATATATACTTAAGTATTTTTTTCTTGCCGGGGCCGAGGCCCCCTCCATCCCCTCCCTGTCTCCACCCCTGTATGGGACAATATAAGTGGGACTTCCCGAAAAGGTAAAACGGGACAAAATAAATGGGACAGAGGGAGTAATCATTATAAAATATGAATGTTTTGGTTTATACTTTATGCGATTTTCCAGATTGGTAATCGTATTTTATGAGGGGAGGGATAGTAATGTAGATTATGACATTACTATTGTCAGCAACATTCTTAAGTTTGGTGTGCATTGTTCTGAGTTTTCATAAATCACAGCTTAGGGTGTTAAATGCAGGTGGAGGGAAGAACGGTGAAGGCTCAAATATGGGACACAGCCGGGCAGGAGAGGTACCGAGCCATAACCAGTGCCTATTACAGAGGCGCAGTCGGAGCATTGTTAGTCTACGATGTGACGAAGCCCGTCACCTTTGACAACATCGACCGTTGGTTGAAGGAACTGAGAGACCACGCGGATAAAAACACCGTTATTCTTCTCATAGGGAATAAGACCGATCTCAACCATCTCCGGGCAGTCGGGACGGAGGATGGTGAGAGTTATGCGCAAAGGGAAGGTCTCTCGTTTATTGAAACCTCGGCTTTGGAGGCAACCAATGTGGAGCAGGCGTTCCAGACCGCTCTTTCTGAAATGTTGGCTAGGGTCGTCAGCAAGAAGTCGATTCTGGCCGAGTCAAATGGCGGTGGTGATAGTGTTAAGAAAGGAAGGAGTCTTGTTGTTGATGCACAGGAGACAATGACCAAGAGAACTTGCTGTTCCACAGCTTAACTGAGAGCACTTTGTATGTATTAGTTTGGGTCTAAACTTTTTGTTTTGTGTGAATGTCTTTATATGTTTAAGTAAGTCAGCCATGTTAGTTATAAATGTGCACTTCACAATACTTGCGCAATAGTCCATGCTCGTTCAAGATAGTTCACACACATAATAAGTTTGTGTGAAGCAAATCAAATATTTTAGATGAGAATGTCCATTACACAAATCAACATCTGTGTAACTTAGTTCGCAAATATTAATTTTTGAATGTGAAGATATTACGTGTTTTTCAAGTCCATTTTCTTCACGAGCATGTAGTAGTTGCACTTCTAGCACTTTTTTGGTTGTGGTTCTTGCGTTTGGTTAATTTTATATTGCAATATGCGGGGAGTAAGTATATATGAAGCACGCCAACGTGTTCACTATAAAGCACGTTGATATGACAAATTGTTAAGATTCATTCATTTAAAAATTTGAGAAATCGTGATTATTCATCAAGTTAACGTCCTCTCTAGTGAGCACATTAACCTACTTCAAATATATTTCATCTTATCAATAGAAGATTAATTTTCTTTTTCTTTTGAAGCAGCAGAAAAGAATTGCCTTTTCAAAAAACTGAGTTTATCCTGTCATTACATCCTAAGGAAAAGGTCTTATTTAAAAAATATCTTCAGTGCAAAATGAATATAGTTTTAAAAGTAAAATTTAATATTCAAGACAAAAATTCAATAATACAATCCGCAAGATTTTTCCTCAAGCAGTCTCAGAAGTAAGTTTTAAGTATAGAAGTGGTAATTGAACTTTACTTTGTTTGTGGGGATGAAGTGATAATTGTATGACTCATTTTATCAAGTCACTTTTTTAAATCTAACCAATGTGTCTACCAAGTCAACGTGTAAGCGATGAACTTCACTTTTTTTGTGGTGCTCCATTGACTCTCTTCTCGAAATGGATAAAACAGCACGTACGTTGTATGCAAGTACGTAATATTTATTTTTTTGCGGGTAAGTACGTAATATTTATAGTCATTGTTACATGGATTATTTAAAAAGATCAGACAAAATAGAAGAACATTACCTATTATTTATATCCTCTTTCTTGACGCGGTTTGGAACTAAACTAAGAATTGACTAAAGCTTTGTTAAACTAGGGTGGGTAGACCCCCTGTTTTGGAAGAAAACGGCACAAATATCATCCAATTTTTTACCTGAAATTAAGTTAGAATGTAAAATCAATTCATAACGATCAAGAGAGATGTGAATCCAACTCAAAAGGCGGAATCTCCTCAAGCCAAGCAGCCCCGCACTCCAACCGGACAGAGTAGTGAAGTAAATCACGATATAATTTCAAACAATGAATAATTTTGTAGTAAAATAGTTCCCGATAAAGATATGAATCCTTTTACTACTTACTACATATTTGTGATTTAGCTAGAATCAGACCGCCTATACCCTCCAGTGATGAAGGATATAATCATGATTTTAGACAAATTGTGATCCAGAATCAGACGAAAAATCAGTAGAGTTGTAGTTATTAGCCTTTGTTGCCACACATCTTGATGCATGAACTAATCCTCCAGTGATGAAACAAGCCGGTCAAGAAGAGAAATCGAGACCTTTCAAAGTAGAAGAGATATTTTTTTTACAGTGGTAAGTTTTTTTCTACTTATGGTATTTATAATCAGATTGATACGTACTTCTCATTGCTATGACAAACCAAATTTTTACTCAAAGAACAGTGAACCATAATGATTATCCCCACTTACTCTAAATCTACACCAATCGTCCACTAACATCACTATTTTGAATTTAAAAACCCATCAATCAACATCACACTTTCCACAATAAGATTTTCAAGATTTTGTATCCCATGTGTACAAATGTTATCAACAGCACTAAATTGTCCAAATCAGCCCACCATTGTTTTGTATGAATGTATTTATATATTCAACTATTCAAGTAAGTCAGCCATGTTAGTTATATCTTTCAAGATAGTTCACACACATAATAAGTTTGTATGAAGCAAATCAAATATTTCAGATGAGAATGTCTAATACAAAATTCAACAACTGTGTAACCTAGTTCACAAATATTAATTTTTGAATGTGAAGATATTACATGTTTTTCATGTCCATTCTCTTCGCGAGCATATGTAGTAGTTACACTTCTATCACTGTTTTGGTTGTGGGTCTTGCGGTTGGTTAATTTTAGATTGCAACATGTGGCCAACTTTCATGACAAATGATTAAGAATTTAAGATTTATTCATTTAAAATTTTGAGATATGGTGATTATCCATCAGCTAACTTTCTCCCTAGTGAACACATTAGTGTATTCCATATTTTTTTTCATCTTATCACTCACTGGTTGTTCTCCTTTTCTTTTGGGGCTGAACATATGAATTGCGTTCTTAAAAGTTGAGTTAATCCTATTATTACATCCTAAGAAACAAGTCCTATTTCAAGAATATCTTTAGTCTAAAAAAGAATTGAATTTTAAAAATAAAATTTAATGTTTAAGTGAAAAATTCAATAAAACAATCCGCAAAATTTTTCCTCATGTACTCATAGAAGTAAGTTTTAAGTATAGGAGTGATAATTGAACTTTAATTTTTTTTTTTGTGGGGATGAATTGGTAACAGTTTGACTCAAATTATCAAATCATTTTTCAAATCTAACGTGTCTACCAAATCAACGTACCATGGCGCTCCATTTGACTATCTTCTAAAAATGGATTAATTTAAAGAGATCTGCCAAAATTGAACAACATTAGCTATTTAGACGATCTCACTTTGTTGATATCCTCTTCCTTTACGCGGTTTTGGGCTAAACTAAGAATTGATTATAACCTTTGTTAAACTAGGGTGGCTAGAACCCTGGTATTGGAAGAAAACAGCACAAATACCATCCCATTTTAACCTAAGAATGTAAAAACAATTTGTAACGATTGAGAAAGATGTGAAGCCAACTTAAAAGGTGTTATGTTGCACGGAAACATGAAAATCTTGAGGAAACGGGAAACGTCAACTTTTGTTTCAAAAAGGCTTGTTTGGAGAGTTTCTGAAAAAATTTCGTAGAGTTTCCGAAACGGAAATGTACTCTTTCCCAAGAGTTTCCGTGCTACATAGAGAAGGTGTAATCACCCACCGGTCCCACCCCAAGCAACCTCACACTCTGAGATAGAGTTGTTGAATATTGGT